AGGGAGGCGAGGGAGAAATGGGGCACAAGCCCCTGATGGGGAGGACTGGGGTGGCTCTGCGGGCTCCTCGGGATGGAAACTCTCCTGCAGCCCTCCAATTGCCCCCTCTCCCCAGATGGCAGCCTGCGGCAAGTGCAGCCGGGCTGATGGCCGAGTGCTGTGATGTGCCGAGTGTGGGCATTCAGGGCACTCCAAGTCAGGGCTGCTTTGCAAGCGGGGCACCCCTGAGAACTGTCTGTCCGCGGTGGGGGTCGGGACCCTTTAAGCACAGCCCTCGGCTAGCCTGAGACAGCATCTCCACGCTCTAAGTCCTCCTCTGATGCCCTGCCGGCACTGCTTCCGGCCATCCTTAACCCCGGTTCAGGGTCCACTTAATGTGGACGCGCTAGTTCGAATTAGCAAAACGCTAATTCGAACTAGTTTTTAGTTTTAGATGCATTAGTTCGAATTAGCTTAGTTAGAATTAACTAATTCGAACTAAGTTAGTTCAAATTAGCGCTGTAGTGTAGACATACCCTGGGGAAGTCTGCAATCCTGTATTATTTTGCCTCTTTCTTTTAATATTTGAAAAGATATTCTTAAATTTAATCTTTAAAGACTCCAGACCTAGCTGAATCAGAACTGTAGGGACATGGTTCTAATCCTGCAACATGTCGCATAAAGGGAAATTCTGCTGCGCTTGCATGCTGCATATGGCAAGAGTTGAGTCACAGATGTAACTCAAGATATGAAAGGACTTGCCTGAGGAAACTATTCTATAGAGATTCCAGGCTGGAGATAGAATCTTCTGCATAAAGAATTGGGCCCTATACCGAATAAATGAATTAATTTTAAACTCAGAAATCCACAGAGTACCTTGCAAAGACTTCAGAGCTATCTGGTGTTCAGTACTATTAATAAATACCTAACGGGGTTGCCTCTTCTAGTTGCTTAGTTCTAATTTAGTAGGACCCACTCAAGTCTAGAACGGTAAGAGACTCTCATCTGTAAATGAAGCCACTAACTCTTACCAGGAGTAATTGAAGAGTACAGAACACATACACTTGAGCAAGTTTGTTTTTGGCTAGTAAGAACCAGCCAAAGAAGTAGTGAAACACCTGCCTTCAAGAACACCCTTTCTTTGGTATCTAGAATACTCAGACCCTAGAATTAAAATCCTTTTATGTAAGGCCAAGAGAAGACACGACATCAAACAGACAGGGGGTGATATACCCCTTAACACTTTCAACACCCAGTTCCAAAAGGAAGATGTGTAGTTTTACCTGAAAAATGCTTGAGAGCTAAAGAGCTCCTTAACAGAAAAAACCTCTTTTAGGCAGCTTATGCCAGAGGCAAACCTTGTGTAAAGCTTGTCCTGGAGTATCACATATCTAGAAATGTTTTGACAAGGAGAGAATACAAAGCACTCTTCAGCACTAGAAAGGTAAGTCTAGAAAGTTTCTTATTATTCACACAACTACTGCACATCAGAGCTGCTCTAGCAGTTTGGTTTATGAACACCTCAATATTTTACAGGCTAAGGTCAGCATCCATAAGACATTTGGTCTCTAGGATTATGAAAGGTAATAAAAATGACTCAAAGATAAGATGAATAATGCTGCCATTCCAACCCCTAGGTAACCTGATCTCTATTTAGCAGGGAAGAGCATGGGGGGGCGGGGAGTAAAACAAACAAAATGGGTCAAATAGAAAACAATGTAAATGTGATTCCTTTCTGAAAAGCGAGTATACACACAAGGCAGCTTCTTGCTCATCAGATTTGCTCCCCTCTATTTTCAGTTCTTTCCAGTTACCTTAATGGAAAGACACAACCAGCTCTTTACTCCTGTGGGCCCTGAAGAGCCACCACAACTCTGGGGCTGTGTCTACACTGGCCTGAATTTCCGGAAATGCTTAAAATGGAATACTATTCCGTTATACGTATTTCCGGAAAAGGAGCGTCTACATTGGCAGGCTGCTTTTCCGGAAAAGCCCTTTTTCCGGAAAAGCGTCTGTGGCCAATGTAGACGCACTTTTCCGGAAAAGAGCCCCGATCGCCATTTTCGCGATCGGGGCTTTTTTCCGGAAAAGACTACTGGGCTGTCTACACTGGCCCTTTTCCGGAACAGTGTTCCGGAATAAGGACTTATGCCCGAGCGGGAGCAGAATAGTTTTTCCGGAATAGCGGCTGATTTTGTACAGTAGAGCATCGTTGCTTTTCTGGAAATTCAAGGGCCAGTGTAGACAGCTCGCAGCTTATTCCGGGAAAGCGGCTGATTTTCTGGAATAAGTGGCCCAGTGTAGACAGCCTGGGAGTAAGATGTGTTTTATTCCTTCTTGGGCATCATCAACAACTTTCTGCTCTATGTTCCAATTAGTTAATATCCCTGTAAATGCATTGAAGGCATTGGGCACTGAGGTTATTGTTTGAAGATAGTGAGGTTGCATGGTTATTAACAGGCACCGTTTTCTAACAGAACCTCTCTTACGGATTATATGATAGACTAGAGATAGAGAACCCACATGAGCTCTCAGAGTCCAGATTGATTTTGTACTCTGAGTGTATGTGGAGAGGGGAGAAGCATTTTATTTTATAAATGGTACATGTTTCTCATGGGATTCATAAGAAACAAGCTGCAGAAGGGGGAGATAGCACCACTGGTTTTAGTGGGGAGAGCTGAGGCACAGGCAAGATCATGACTCCACCATTGACTCTGCTCCTGCATGCTAGGCAGTTCTAGGAAGCATTTTACCTGTGACACATACTCCCTGCAACCTCCCTGAAATAGGATGGCTTCCTGCCTCCCTTCCTTTACTTTGGATTTAGCCTAAAGAGGCATGGCTTAGCCCCATTCATACCTATGTTGAGAGGACTGGCCTGGCTATCCCGTTCACTCATTGGCCAAATCTCCCTAATGTATCATTTAAGCTGAATTGTTGTTGTGTTACGCATGCCCCAGATGAGAGAAGTTCACAATCTGTACAAAGCCAGTTATTATCCTACTATTAAAACTTGTAACTTTTTGCCTCCAGGTACTGGGATCTGATTTGGATTCCTTCATTCTGCCAGATTATTTAAATCAGACAGTTTCTGTTGTTCTCACTTTATGTAGGAATTGCAGGTCAAATTGCCCCCACTGCACTCCCTTTACCTCACTCACTGGCTACATCTATACTGCAAATGAAGTGTGGACTAGCATATTGCCACACTTCATTTGCATAATTAATTAGGGACCATTTTTGCACAAGAGGCTTTTGTGAAAAAAGGAGCAGTGTAGACGGCTCCTTTTTGTGCAAAAACCCCTCTTGCACAAGAGCCGTTCTTCCTAATTTTTACAGGAAGAACGGCTCTTGCACAAGAGGAGGTTATTGCACAAAAAGGAGCCGTCTACACAGCTCCTTTTTGTGCAAAAGCCTCTTGCACAAAAATGGCCCCTAATTATGCAAATGAAGCATGGCGATATGCTAATCCGTGCTTCATTTGCATAGGCTTTTGCTCAAGAGAGATGCAGTGTAGTCCAGAGCCTCAGAGCGATGGGAGTAGCCAAAGCATCATGCTCTCCCACAATCTCCATCTAGCAGCTGGTCCCTAGTTGCTCTAAACTGTACTGTGACCAAGGCTGGATGGAGAATCAAGGAGCTGTAACCAGCTCCCTGACAGAGCACCCTCGTCACCACAGCCACTGTACATCTGACGCAGCAGGGACTCTGTCCTTCTACTTCTAAAGCAGAGTCCAGCGCTATTAAACTAACAGTTTGTTAGTAGATCACAAATAAACATCACATAAGGCTCCACATTGCTGTGTGCTTCCATCTGTTCTTTCTTGTCTTACACTTAGATTGTCAGCTATGTGGGGCAGTGGCAGGATTTTTGTTCTGTTTGTACAGTACCTGGCACACTGGAGTCCTCGTCCATGACTGGGTTTCCTGTGTGCTATGGTCGTACTGGTAACAAATAGGATAAAAGAAAGCTAAGGTAACATGCCTTTTATTTTAAAAAAAACCAAACAGATAAGAAGGTCTGTATTGAAGAGATAAAACTCAGAACAAACTGTGGTTACCCTGGCATCTCTGCTGAACTATGTGAGGCAAGAGGCTGTTGTTTTGAGTCAAGACCGCCTGCTGTCCCCTGGTGCTTCTATCATCTTCAGGTGCAAGAAGGTAACTTATCTGCATGAAGTAAAGTTAATTTTTTCAGTGATCACATAGAGGTTTGTAGCTGGGAATTTTACTGTTTTATTTTCTAGTCTGCATGATACTTTGCAGGCTAAGAACTGATAGAGAATTCCCTTCGATTAAGCTTCATGGGCCTTCATTATTTGCTTACATTCAAGGCTTGATTGTGCAGGGTGTGAGTGAGGTAGAGATGTTTAATGTTTGAAAAAGGGAGGATGAATAATCATAAAAATGTGGGGCTGGAAGGGACATTAAGAGGACTACTAGTCCATCCCCTATACTGAGGCAGGATATAATGATACTCACAGCTGTTCTAATGTTGCCTGCAGTGATATATGATGTGTGGCAATAAAGGGATTTGAAGACATTTCTTGTCTATCCAGTACTCAGTACTGCTCTGCTGTTAACCCTCTCCAGCCAGGATCCTGTGTCCTAGGATCAGTCATCAGGGTATCAATGCCACAAGGAGGGCACAAGAAGATGGTGCAGAGTCCAGATAGGGCATGTCATTCTCTCTGGAACATCCTCTCTTTGAATAATAGCCTTCATTTTAAACAACACATTTATACACATTTGTTGATAGATCTTTGTAACATATGTGCCAGAAACATACTGGGAGATGCATAGCAGGGAACCGTTGCCCTGAACAATTGCTTGATGTACAGTTTTTTGTTATCTGCCATGGGCAAATAAATGTTTTAAATCTCCTGTGGATCAGATGAAAAAATTCAACCCTTAACCTATTTTCCTTCTTTCTCCCTAGATTGTTAAAGAGAATTTGCACCTGGAATTCAGGCAAGCAACCTGTCAATTGATCAACTGAAGCAGGAAAATAATAGTAATGCTCACATCTTATACTTCACACTGTGTAGCAATTCTGATTTCTAAATAATTTGTGTCTTGGGTTTATTCCTTTTCAATGACCCAATTAATTGCAGCTTTTATTCTTTTCAGTAGGTTGGTACCAGATATCTGTTTAAAGCAATAAAAACATAAAAACAAAATGTGTAAATGCTGTGTTGTCCTTTGTTTTTAATTGTCCCAATATTTTTCCCTTCCTCTAGCTCAGGGATGGGCAATAATTTTTGATGGGAGGGGGGAGGGGCACTCCAAGAATTTGTAAAGTTGTCAAGGGCCACACTCTTCCATATTAATGGGGGAGGTGCGGGGTCAGAGATGGAGGTTGGGTGCAGACGGGAGCTTGCAGGAAAGGATTGGGGTGCAGGCAAGGGTGTGGCATCTGGGAGGAAGTTTGGGTGAAGGAGGCAATTGTGACCTGGGCTAGGGGACTGGTGTGCAAGGCTTTGGGTTGTGACCTTGGGCAAGAGAGAATTGTGACCTGGGGAAGAGAACTAGGGTGCAAGAGGGCTTGGAGGGGTTTGGGAAGTGACCATGGGCAGGAGGGGGTTATAACTTTGGGGCAGCAAACTGGGGTTCAGGAAAAGATGCAGAGGTTTGGGCTGTGATCTGGGGCAGGGAATTGGGGTACAGAATCTGAGAGGGGATATGAGGGCAGAAGGTTTGGGTTATGTGGGGTGGGGAGGGCAGAGGGCTGGGGTGTCAGAGGCAGGTGCTGGCTAGGAGACTTACCTGCTTGACTTCCAGCCAGCAGCATTCTCAAGTAGGACTCCCTGCTTGCCCTGCCCTGCCCTTGCACTGGCTGCATGGGCCATGCAGTTTTTGAACAGCTATGAGCCTGAGGAGAGGAGGGTGCTTCACAAGCTGCCTGTTGACAACAGGCAGATCCCACTGGATGGAAACTGGTCAATGGGATTGTGCTGGGGGCAGGAGCAGCACCTGAAGCTGCTCCTCCCTGCCCCAGCTCACAGCTGTTCAGAGCCCCATAAGTTCACAACAGCCATTTTTCTCAGCAATGTGCAGGAGGCCAGCAGGGAGTCTACCTGAGGTTTCCCACTGCATCCACAGGCCAATCCAATGGCTTCACAGGACAAATCCAGCCCATGAAAGGTAGTTTTCCCAGGCCTGCTATAGGTGTATGTACTTCAGTGCCCTGCAGATGAGACATTAGCCAACAACGTCTCTGATACAAACCACAGCACTTTCTGGTAGGGTCAGATTGTGATTCCCTTACCAGAGCTGATGGGGAATTTTTTAAAGAATTTGTTGTGGTAAAATGCTGATTTGTTGAAACAGAAACTTTGCACAAGAATATGACGGTTTCTACAAAATTTTCACTGGGGTGGTTTCTTGGGTCCAGGAGGGACTTTATCTTCAAAATGCTGATAGACTATGTGAGAACTGGGAGATTTACATTTAAATCCATGTTCTGCCCAATTCAGTGCAGGGACATGAAATGGGATCTTGCACATCATGGCTTAGTGCTTTAACCACCTGACTGCTGCTTGAGAAATTGTAATGTCTCAATTTTGTCTGAGAAGGGAAAAATTCTTGATCTCTTCCATTTTTACTGGGCAGGACAACCATGTCTCATATGGAACACAAACTCTAAGGAGGAGCAGAGCCAGAACAGTCAGGAATTGTATTGAGCTTCTGAACTTCAAGACTCAGAGATGGCTTCAGGAAAACTCAGCTGCAACTCATTCAGTCAGGAATCCCACCTGGAGAACGCAGCAGATTTAGGAAATATCGTAAAATAGGTACCAGCACAGGATGAAAGGAAGAGTATTTTAGAGCTGGACAAATATTGGATTGTTTGGCTGGTTGGTTTTTATTCACTGGCAATTTTGGAAACAATCCAAAAAAAGTTTTGTTTTGTCTGAAATTGAAAAAAGACATATTCTGACGTTTACTGGCACACTGAAAACATTTTGAATCAAAATCTTTTTGAGAACACAGAAATGAAATGTTTCCATTCTATCTGACAATATATACATTTCAAGTTTCAGGCATTAATCTGGCTGCATCCCTGCCTCAGGACTGTGGCTGGGCGCTGGGCTGGAGTTGCAGTCAAGAGTTAGGGTGGGGTGCAGAGCCACAGCTGGAGCTGGGAGCCAAGAGCTGAGGCAAGGGCCAGAGCTGCAGCTGGAACTGGGACTGGCACTAGGACAGAGCTAGGGCAGAGCAGAGCAATGTAGGGTGAAAATTCCTTCCAATCTGGCTGCATCCCTGCCTCAGGACTGTGGCTGGGCGCTGGGCTGGAGTTGCAGTCAAGAGTTAGGGTGGGGTGCAGAGCCACAGCTGGAGCTGGGAGCCAAGAGCTGAGGCAAGGGCCAGAGCTGCAGCTGGAACTGGGACTGGCACTAGGACAGAGCTAGGGCAGAGCAGAGCAATGTAGGGTGAAAATTCCTTCCTCTTCCTCCCCTCCCCCCCCCCCCCCCCCGCCCCCTGAATTCCTCCATGCCACCTAGGCAGGGCATGCCCCATAATTTGGGGACCATGGGCTTAGTAATTCAGGGACTCACTTGGGTTGTGGGAGACCTGGTTCAATCCTCCCCCTCTGTGTGATGCGGAGAAGGGATCTAACTGGCGCCTCCAGGAGAGGGCCAAGCCCTGAGCTGTGGGGCATTCCCAAACTAGCCTCTTGAAGCTTCTGCACGTTTGCCAAACAATTCAACAGTCCCTGCAGCAAAGGTGTGAATAGAGGCCTCCTACCTGAGGGCCCTAATTACTAGGCTGTAGATTCAGTCTCATTCATTTTCCTTGGCCAAGTGACTAGGGTGATCATCCGTCTCGTTGTTACCAGGACAGTCCCGTATTTAAGGGCTGTTCCGAACGCCCTGACTTTTAAAAAAAACCGGCACATTGTCCTGTATTTTTCCTGCAGCAGGGGTCAGCCACTGAAGCCCTAAGCACCGGCCGCTCCCCCCAACCACGCTGGGGCTGGAGCCCTGAGCACCCCCAAATTCCCCCCAGTGCCACAGGCTTCTACTCCTCCCTCCTCTGGGACTGGAGGCCCAAGTGCCCCCTAAGCGCCAGTGGCCCCTTCCCCCCCTCTCCACTGTGGGGCTGGAACCCTGAGCATCAGCGCCTCCTCACCCCTGCAGGGCTGAAGCGCCAAGCACCAGCAGCTCCTCTTCCCAACCACTCTGGCACTGGAGCCCCAAACACCCCCAAATGATTCCCAGCACCAGCAACTCCTCCCCCTGCCCCACGGGGCTGGAGCCCTAAGTGCCAGCACCCTCCATTGCTGCAGGGCTGAAGTCCTGAGGGCCACGTGCCGCCCCCAGGTTGAAACCCCAATTTCCAGCAGCCTCCCCTTTTGGGCTAAAGCCCCAAGCACTGGCAGCCCCCACCTTGGTGTCCCATATTTGGCATGGGGAAATATGGTCCACCCTACAAGTGAGCAACTTTCTTACTAAACAAACCCAACATTCTTGCCCCTGAGGTCCCACCCCTCTCACCCATCCCCTCTCCTTCCATTGCTCGCTCTGCCCCCCATTGCATCCCCCCTCCATTGCTCGCTCTGCCCCCCATTGCATCCCCCCTCCCTCCATTGCTCACTCTGCTCCCCACTGCATCCCCCCTCCCTCCATTGCTCACT